TCGGTTGGTAGGCAAACGTGGTCTTATCAAGTGGACATCATTTAACTTTGAGGCTATCACTATGACTCATCTAAGTCTTTCTCAGTCCTCTATGGGACAGATTATAAGGCAGCTCAGCCTTCTAGTCTTAGAAGAGCCTGGCCTGGCCACAGAGATGCTAGGTTCAGCTGACTGGACCAACAGGAGCCCATGACTATAACTGGACCCTTCAGAGCCACACCTAGGAACATAGCTGCTGTTGTTAGGTACCATGAAGCCAGCTCCGACCCACCGTGGCCCCGTGCACAGCAGAATGGAGCACTGTCTGGTCCTGTGCCGTCCTCACAATGGTCCCAGTACCCGAGTCCCTTGATGCAGCCCCTGCGTCAATCTATCTGTCCAGGGCCTTTCTCTCTTCCACTGTCCCTCCACTGTACCAAACACGATGTCCTTCTCCAGGGACTGGTCTCTCCTGACCACATGCCCAAGCGTGTCAGACAAAGTTTGCGGTCCTTTCAGCTAAGGACCCTTCTGGTCTCACTTCATCGAGAATATGGGTCAGTTTGTCCTCTCAGTACTTTTGATATTCTTCTTCAGCATCACAATTCAAATGCATAGATTCTTCTTTGGTTTTCCTTATTCAATGTCCAATTTTCACACCCATCTGAGGCAATGAAGGATACCATAACTTGGGTCAGGTGCACCTTAATCCTCAAAGTAACACCCTTGCTCTTTTATACTCCACTAAGGTCGTGTGCAGCAGACTGACCTAATGCAATAGGTCTTTTGATCTCTTGACTTCTGCTTTCATGAGCACTTACATATTTGCATACGGACAGGTTGTATCTGCTTATGGTTGGCAAATCACTAAATTTATATTTGCCTAACCACAATTCTGAAATTCAAAAGGCTCTTAGAACGTTTTCTTATATTTGAAGCCAACACATTTGGCAGCACAGCCAGGCTTGGGGCTCTTGGTAGTGTTTAGTGTCACCTCATCACGAGCGACTTGGGAAGAGACACCAGTGTGCCTGATGAGGCGGGTTGCCGTGGGCTCTGCTGGGCATGTGAAGTGACAGGTGTCTGATGCACTGTGGAGACCTAACACTTGTTTTTGTTTGCTGCCGCTGAGCTGTCCCCCGGCGTATGGCCCTGCGAAACACACAATTGCTGCCTGATCCTGCACCCGCACCAGGACTGCCTGAGAGTCAGACTCCTGTCATCACATCGAGGAATTTCATTGGCTGATTTTTAGAAGTAGACCACCTTCTTTTGTTCACAGTCTATCTCCATCTGGAAGCTCCACAGAAACTTGTTCAGCACCGTAGTAGTGTGCAAGCCTCCAGTGACAGACATTTCCACACACTCCTGGCCACAAAGGATGTCGGCGCTGCCTGTGGACACACTGTAAGAAAGCCACTTTGCCAAGGTAGGCATAAGAAACTCAAGGACACGGAAGTGGAGGTTAGCCCCTGACAGTTTTCAAGAACAATAGCCCAGACACTTTTGTGGGCACCTTCATCCTGGCCCGTGGGTCTCCTGGGCCGCATACTGCATCGCTGTAACTCATCCCCTATCAGCAACTCTGCAGCTTCGCTGAACGGTAGCCAGTGACAGCAGACGATCCCATCCTCCTTCCCTGAAGGCTCAGACCTGGAGCCCACCAGGAACCCCGCCCTTGCCGCTGTGCCAGGCGGATGCATCACCATGCTCAGTCCTGGCCTACACAAGCCAGCTGGTACTGCTGTGGGTACATGGCCTTTTGGTCTGGGCAGGGAGGCCTGCACTCCTGCAGGTTTCCACTTACAGAAGGTGCCACAAGGAAAGGAAGGATGGGGTGGACTTGGCACGGAGCCATCTAAATGGTTTCCGTCTGAAGGGCTTCCCACTTTGAAATATTCTCTAAGGAGGCCATTCGTCTTCTTTTTGGAGGTAGTATGGATTTGTGGCCCCAAATCCTCCCTTGGAAAATCTATCTCTGTAAGATTTTTTTTTAATAATGAGAAAAATAGAAAAAGTATAGGTTTCTTTTTCTTTAATTGTGCACCACTACCCAAAGAATTCCGCAGTGATAGCAATACTATGAATAGGGCAGTCATAATGGGCTTCCCAAGAGCCCAGAGCTCAACCACAGGAATCATTCCTATCAGGGCTGAGCTATAATTGTACCTTCTATAAATGAAATTTTTAGAGGAACAGTTGCAATCTGTGTCTCTAACCTCCAACCCCACCCCTCCAACTTCAGAACTGGTTATTTATTATTTTGCTTTAACCTTTTGAAAGGAACCTTTAAAAACGGTTGGCCTCTATGTGTAGTTGAGAAAGAAATACACTCAAATATGCAAGCAGTCAGGACAATTCCAAGCAAGAGAGAGGGACTATGTTAAGCGAGTCTTGGAAAGCCCGGAACGTGGGGTCTTTCCTTCAATGGCAAAATAGGCACTGCCCTTCCTCTCTCCTACTAATGAAAGTGGCACGTTTTAGATCAAAAGTGATGGCCTTACGGCTGCAATTACTTACCACTCAGGCAGAAAGACACGATGGGCGAGTTAGTATAAAGACTGTCTGAGCCCAGTGAACTCCCCAGATAGCTGAATGTGTGGCTTCCTTCAAGGAGAGTCTTGGCACACACAATTCCAGCCACTGTGATAATAAGGGAACTGAGCTCAGAGATCCAAAAGCGGTTGGAAAGCAAAATAGAAGCATAAATGGGGCTTGGAGAAATCAGTGGAAAATAGACATTTAAACAGGATTTCTGCCTTGAATCAACAAAGCCAGGGAGTTTAGAACTGAAACAAACGACTAGGAGAGAGTAACAACAAATCTCTGAGTGGAAATGAAAGTCGGTGAGTCTATCTGAGGTCGAACCTTTCCTTGTAACTGAAAATGGGAGAGGATGCAAGAGTGGATTTAGAAACATCTTTACCCAGGGCTCCAGGGATAACAGCCATGCACTGGGACAAAGCTGCTCCCCTGGGAAGCAGCAGGGCTTGCTGGGGTTACCTCTTTCGTGATTAGGGGTCTGGATATGCAGACACATGTGGAAGCCTCCTGTCTCCTCCAATATCAGACTAACGGTCACGCAGAGGGAGGAGAGGGCCATGTGTGAGCGTGTGACATCAGCTGCGCATGTCCTCACTGGGAGGCTCGTCTTTCTCTCTCTGGAGGACAAGCCTGGGGAATCCAAACTGCTCCTCTCTCAAAGGTAAAGATCTAGGGAATGGCTTAATGCTGTGAAATGATTCTATGGTGATATGGATATGTATTATTTATTACTAACAAGAACACCCTGCATCCTTTTGTCAGATTGCTGGACTCTGGTGGCTTGTGAATTGCTGTGATACTGGAAGTTCTACTTCTGGTATTTCAAATATGGGAAGGGGTCACCCAAGGTGGATAAGACTGAATCCAGATTAGAGATTAAGGAAGACTAGGAAGAAAGGCTTCATATTCTACTTAAGAAAAGTAACCAACAGAAACCTTCTGGATCACAGTAGAGCGTTAGCTGACTCACTTGCTTTGGCTACGTCATCCTGTTGCAGGAGGACAGTATGTTAAGTGAAGCCGAGGGCCAGCAAAGGTCAGGAAGACCCTCAGTAAGATGGACTGGGACAGCACTCTCAATGATGGCCTTGAGCAGGCCAGTGAGTGTGAACATATCTCGGCACCAGGCCGCGTTTTCTTCTGTTTTGCATTGCTCTCTGGGAGTTGGAATAGACCTCATGGCAGTTGTCTGTCCATCCACCGCTCCATGTATCTACCCACCAACGTGACTACCTATCTACCTATTTACCTATCAGTCTAAAGAAACAATTGCATAAAGTCAGGCCCAAGCTGATGGGTCAAAGGATTGACCCAGTGTTCTCAGTGACATTGTGAATTGCTGTGAATTGCAATTCTCCCTACTCTCACCCACTTAGGCACAAGTGAGCTGTCACAGACTCTACGGGTTTCTCTCTGCGCTACCAAAGTAAAACTGGTTACAGGACAGCAATGGAAGGTCTGGTGGAAGAACACCATTCTCCTAACAAATGCTTTAGGGAAGGTTTAGAAGTCAAGCTGGTCATTCTGTTCTTATGCAAAGTTGTTTCCCCTGCATCCATTAAGTCGTGCTTTCTGTCTTGAGGACACAGGCCTGATAAGCTGGTTATTACTTTGAGTCCTGTAAGCTGCCTGAGCCAGCTGCTTCCTCTGCTCTTGTCAGCTGCAGGAGTGTGGGTATGTCCTGTGACTTCTCTGAGGCTCAGAGTGACCGTTTGTTTTGTACATTATATGAAATGGTAAATGGAGAGCTACCCTAACACAGTGCCTGGGTCAGGTCATGCTAAAAAACAAACAAACAAACAAACAACAACACCCCCCACCCACCCAAAACAAGGGCAAATGCTTGTTGACCAAGTTTATGATGCACACTCATTTTCTGAAGATAAAGAGAGTCTGAGGTGTAAAAAACACCAAATCGGGTCTTACGGACTTACTTAATCTTATCTTCAATACACAAACATTACCAACCCCATATTTACATAACAGACCACATAGTGTTGAGTCAGCCAGGAGAAATGTCCAAATCTGTACCACAGGGCAGGATTTTTTGTTTTGGTAGAAAGTTCTTAGGAAGAAAATGTGAGCATCAACACTGTACATGAAACAGCATGCACCATGCGCACGCACACACACACACACACACACACACACACCTGCCCTGCTCTGAAAGAGGTTTGCTGTTGTCAATGTGCGCAGCAGCAGCCAGCCAGCATATCTGGTTCTTTGAGACTCTGGGTCGGGGGTGCACCTCAAGAACCTGAACCTGCTCTACTCCCTGCCTCCACAATAGCTTTTGGGAAACCTCAGAGAGCTGGGTCATTCAAGTTCAAGCCCACTGTCAGTTTATAGCGGACTTGGGCAAGAGGCTGGATTGTCCTATTCCTTTTGGGTGTAAAAGGTACACCATGAGCTTTCCTAGAGGTTGCTAAGTTCCTGGAGGAGGAGGAGGAGGAGGGAGAGATGCCAAATATCTTTACCATCAACCACCACTGCAGTGAGCAGGCCCTTCCTCTTGCTGCTCAGCCGGTCATGGGTCTGGCACTGTTGGTCCCGGAAGCTGGGCAGTCCCTTGGGGCAGGGCAGGTTCTCACAGGCTGTGTGTTCCACGCTGGTTCCCAAGCAGTGTGCTCCTCCAGGCCCAGGGCTAAAGGGAAGAGAAGGGCGGGCGTGCATTAGCCAGGTGGTGATGTGGAAATAATAGGTGCTCTGTTTTCCCTCTTTGGCTAGGAAAGGAAGGGGCTAGAACAAGCTTTCTAATGAAATCCCCTCTGCTCCCAGACAGGCTATATCTCAGACATCCCCAATCCCGGCTGACAGCCTGGATAAGTGAGCCATCCAAGCAATAAGCCTAAGAACCATATATCAAGGTCATCTAGAAACAGGATACAGCGAGTGTCAGTTCAGCAGAGTCCATGAATCTTTCTTTTTGTATAAGCTTAAAACTTGGCCATCTGGAACACCAAACTTCCCAAGGGGGATTTCAGGTGCTTTTTAGTCTGTGGAGAGGGGTCTTTTATGAAATGAAGATGTTTAAATGACTCTTTAGTATACTTCTCACCACCCATTTGCCAGTTTTAATACTGTGATGACTTGCATGTTGCCATAATGCTGGCAGTGATGCGACTACCAGTGTTGCACATATCAGAAAGGTCCCCCATCGCGGACGGGTTTCAACGAAGTTTCCAGACGAATATGTACTAGAAGGAAAGCCCTGATGATCTCCTTCTAAAAGGTGGCCAACATAAGCTCTAATGATCACCTTGGATTGTGCGATAGCGTGCCAGACGATGATTCCCCTAGGTCGGAAGGCACTCAAATTGGACAGTGGTCACAACGAGGAGTGAGAGTGATCATGATGCAGGCATAGCACAAAGTCAAGTTTTAGTTTTGTGCTGTATGGGGGCACTCGGAGCCCATCACTGATAACAGCAAAGCATCCTCCAGAGGTCAATAAATTTCAGAACAAATAATAAATAGCTTTCATTTCTTTTACAATGAAAAGATTCAGCATTATCCCTTATCCACAGGCTTTACTGAATTACTGAATGGAGTTAATAAATAATTTCTGAGAGTCAAAGTTTGTGAATGGGACAACATTCTATACTAGAACGGGCATTGTATCGAAGATGAGGCAGATGGAGCACAATGAGGAACGAAGAACGCAGGGAAGTCCAAGTCTCTCCAAGGGTTTTTTGTATAGCAATCAAAATGTCTCTTGGAATCCTTTGCCACAGAGTGAAGGCCAGTTAGATGGCATCTCTGCCCTTTTCCCTGGGGGAACACCAGGCCTCATAGTCGATGGCCTGGTCTGTGTCCAGAAGCGTTGGGTGTAGGACAGTGACCCATGAAGGTTGCTGTTCACTGGCAGCGTCCACATGGCTCAGGGGCACTGAGGGGGATGGCAGGACCACAGTCCAGGCTGGACCACGTTGAGGGTTTCCCAGCTCTTTTGAAAGGCCCACTGTATGCTCGCCTCAATGACTTCTTTCAGCACTGTGGTACCAAGATCAGGATGTTGGAGGATGAGGAGAGTTTTGTTTTCCCTGCCCTTTTTGTTGCAGGTCACCATGGGAGAGGAAAGGACACAAATTGCAACTGTTCTGCTCAGTGAGTTTTCACAAACTGCACACACCTGCTGGCAGGCTTCCCTGGCTAGTGCCAAGAGTTGTCATGTTTAGAAGCATCTCAGAAAGCCTCGTGACCTGCTTTTGAAGAATCAGGGCATTCTGACACCCACGAGGTCATTCTGAGTTGGAGTTGACAACTGGTTTGATTTTATTTGGCTGACATGGTGATACTTTTCACCCATTAACTGATTTCCACTGGCCATTTCTCATGTTGAGACAATGAGGCTATCCAGTGATCAGTACTTTTGGGCAGAGAGACAAAGCAGAAGATAAGAGACCAGGATTTGGCAAACATTACTGTAAGGGGCCAGGTAGTGACTATTTTAGGCTCTGCAGCCCTCTGGTCTCCGTTGTAACCACACATCCCTGTTGTTGTAGCACTAAAGCACTAACAATATAGACAACACGACTCCATTTGAATAAAACTTTATTAACAACAAAAGATTTGGCTCATGGGTCATGGTTTCCAAATACTGGTCTATAGAACTACTTTGGGGAGATTAAAAAAAAAAGCAAAGGTGCCCCCTCTGACCTTTTCCCTACCTCTTACACATTAGGAAATGATTCCCTTTCATCTGGAAATATATGGGGATTAAGCTTCTGGTGAGTCCACTCTTATCATAGACCAGTTGTGCACAGCCTTGCTCTCATGCAGACAGCATTGGAAAGTGGGTTCTTGCAGATGCGGTTGGGTTAAAACTTACATCTGACCGTTTGATCTCCCTTTTGGCCCATCTAAAATTTGCTCTACTCTCTAATATATTCTGCTTTCTCTTTGATTGAGGTTTTCCTCTGCTTTACTTTGCTATTGTTGTTAGGGGTTTGTTTGTTTATTTGGTATGTTTTTCTGTGTATGAAATCCAGGATAGTAAATGTATAGGGACAGAAATGACTGCATGGGGGTAAGGCAGAGAAGGTTGAGTGTGTGTGGAATTGGGAAACTAACAGTAAGGAAAAGAAAGAAGAAAATGTTCTAAAATTGATTGTGATGATGGTTGTACAACTTGTCTTACTATGACTGAATTATTGAATTGTATGATATGTGAATTATATGCCAATGAAACTAGGAAGGAAGGAAGGAAAGAAACAGGAAGGGAGAGGGAGAAGGAGTGAGAAAGAGAGAGGGAGAGGGAGGGTGGGGGTGGGGGAGAGAAACAAGAAAACTACTCCCTTATCTGGGTACAGGAGGCCTCAGGAGATTGTTGGTGCTGGCTGCTCTAGAGAGACGGACTTAGAGTTCTGATTTCCAAGTTAAGCCCAGGAGATATGTAAAATCCCTAGCTGGTTTATGGGCTGTAAGATCAGAAAGGGGGGCCTCATGCTCTGTTTGCTGCCTAGAGTCCCGGGGGCAGCAGGCCTTAGAGAAATGATTACCTGGTGTGTTTAGGCACATAACACTCCGAGGGCCTCATCAGGTCCCAGAGTCCAGGACATATGTGGCAGATGTTCAACAACCACTTATTGAATGGGTTCCTACGCCACACAGCATAGCATGCAAGAGGTGCACACGGGCTGGTCCTGGACAGCCTGTATGGACCCCTCCTAGGGACACTTCCACAGCAACAGGTGGGAGATACAGTGTAGGTCAGTGTCCAAAGGGATACGTGTTTTCCCCCAGATTGTAAATGCAGACTCTAGGAATCGAGAGTAGGAACTCCTGAACTAACTGGGAATCCAATACTTACGGGAAGAGAGTTCAGAGCTATGACTCAGGTTGTTCACTAGACAACACGAGAAGCTGACTTTCTTACACACCTTAAACTGCGATTTGTTTCTGGCTTATAATCCCGTCTTAGACTCGTCATCAGGCTCTGTGTTGACAACAGATTGGTCCTTCTCCAATCGTTCTCTCCAGATTCACATGTTGGGCAGCAGTTTGAAACCACCAGCTGCTCCAAGGGAGAAGGGTGGGGGCAGTTATAATCTGTCCTATAGGGTCAATACGGGTTGGAATCCGCTCAATGGCAGAGTTTGTTTGTTTTGGGTTTTTTTTGGCGGGGGGCTATGCTTGAAAGCAGGCAGTTGAGGGAGAGATTCAATGTGGCATGAAAGAACTCCAGGGTCCAGTAGAAAACAGGCCTGCGAGGGGCTGTCTATATCTGAGACACCCTCAACAAGTCTCCCTCCACAGCTGTTTATCCATCTTTCCCCACAGCAAAGTACCCCCTTCAAACTCCCATCAAGTTCACTACCTCATTTTTCCTATTTCACACTGCAAATCCTCTGCCCACCCTGGGCCCACCTCTTCCCTGCAGCTTATTTTACTTTCCTTCCTGGAGTTTGACCCGACAGCCTGTGGGTCTCTGCAATACTGTTCATCCCCAACTTGGTGTAATCGTGAACTAGGGTCTCAGCTCCCCCATTCCTCTGCCATCTCAGCAGAGAACCCTGCACAAGGGGGGTTTTAGTCAATTTTGATGGACTGCTGTTTTCCGCTTTATTGGATCACTATTTTAGACAGCCTGGGAAAAGAAGAGAAGTGATTGACTGGCAACGTGGTTCGCCACCCCAATTATGCCAGGGACCAAAGAGGGGTGCAGAAAATGGTTAACCTGCTCCATAGGTAATCAGAAGGCTATTGAGGTTCAAGTCTGCCCAGAGGTACCTCAGAAGAAAGGCCTAGAAATCTCCTTAAAAAAAATCAGCTAGTGAAAACTCCATGGAGCACAGTGGTACGCCGGCACCCAGGTCACGTCAGAGTCAGCCTGACAACAACAGGAAGATGCGGGCACGTCCTGTACTAAGCTGCTCTCTCTTCATGACTGTCCCTAGCACAGGTTACCTGCAAGCCCTGGGAGACTGTGACATCAGCCAGGGACTTCTGGGCTCACACTGGTCCGCAGACAGCCGGAGGGACCCTCAGTACTTGGGAACAGGTGAGACAGAAGGGAATCTTTGGTGGCAGGTCCCTAACAGAGAGGTGCCGAAATGTTTTTGGATAGAAATTGTGTGCAGTAACTTGGGAGAATCCCTACTTCCAGGCTCACCTTGAGCTGTATGGACGCCGGGCCTTCAGAAAGTGCCAGCAAATGGGTGGTTAGGTGCCATACAGGAGGTCCGGACTCACAGCCGTCTCCTGTACAACAGAATGCAACCGTTCTCATAATTGTCCTTGGCTTGGAGCCCACTGTGCAGCCACTGTGTCAACTCGTCTCACTGCAGGCGTTCCTCTTCTTTGCTGCCCTTCCACTCTATCAAGCATGATGCTTGGGGTGGTTACATAATTTCATGTCAACTTGATAAAAGAAGGAAGGGGCGGAGTCTAGCCTGTCAGGTCATAGCCTGAATACGTCTCCTTGCAGGTGTGGCCTCAGCAAGAGGATTCTGGGAACACTCGCTCTCGGTTCTGCCATCAGAAGAGGCAGGACATCCCGTCTCTCTCGACTACACCTTCCTGTTGACAAGCCACATGGTGCCACGCTGATGGCAGCCAGAGCCCTGGAGATGCTCCCACTGCCACTAGATCCACAAGTCTTTCGACCCACTGGCCTGTGATCTTCCTGCATTCAGCATCATT